GCATATATCACAAGATTTTTAATATTTTATTTTTTAAGGAACAAAAAATAATATAGATATAAATTGCTAAGCCTAAGTAATTTAACTGAGTGTAAGGTAAGAAATACTGATTATATTTTGGGAGTTGATTTTTATGTATTTCGATATTCAATTACATTGATAGAGCCTCAGTTGACTCATAAACCAAATATCTTATTATTCATATATATCATACAGCTAGAAGATTTATTACAATTATTAGATGTATGTATTTCTGTCATATAAATGTATATATATTTAAATACTATTATGTTTTAATAAAAAGTTAATTAACATGTACAAGTATATAATATGATGTTATTTCTTGGGAATGTTCTGTAATTCATAATTCAGAGTAGGTTGTAATTAGTTACGACGTAAAGAATTTACTAATTACATGCACAATATTTGCGAGTCTAAAGTACAATATTCTACTCTATCACAGGTACATATATGGATTATAAACATCCACAAATCCATTTATAATAGCAACATAATCGTTAATTCGTTAATAATTCACTTTTCTATAACATAATTTTAAATAATTGATGTAAATATGTGATTAGATCATTATATTCGTAAGTAAGAAAGAAACTTAAGACATTAGAGAGTGATTAGAAAATTATACATTGTATAATATACATATTATGATATATCCAAATATTTTTATATAAATTATATTTTAATACAATATATTTTCATTCTATCAATAACAAGGAATGTAATTGAATTGTGTCAGTTCTATATAGGTCTGGGTTAGTCTTTTTCCATAATAGAGAATGTATTAGGCAATGAGCCCCTATTTTATCCCAGAAACCCATAATGGCAGGACTATTTAAGAAAATATACAAAGATACATATATATGTATGTATATGATAGTAGAAAGATTACTGTAAATCTTTAATCTTTCAAATGATAACAGATAGTATTCTAAGTATTATATTACATGATACCCTGACAATTATTTTAGTCTAATTATTACATTATCATAATAACGAATTTCGATCATTTGTTACTATTTTAAATTAGCAAAGATTTACATAAGTTATTCTCATTTTTGAATTTGTTATAGTTTTACTTTGTATGCAAGTTGCTGACCAAGTATCACATAAACATGCTCTAATCACATCAGTAATTTAATATTTATTTACTTGAAAATTTGAAATTTTATTGTTATTTCGAATTTAATTTTGTAATATAATTATTTTAATAATGCATTAAAAGATTCTTTGCACTTATATATAATGTTAAAAAAACAATCTCATTTAATCAGACTAAAATTGTACACAGTGCTACTAATTTTTGTATATACATAATGTCAATACAAAGGATGCCATACATTATCAATAGTCACTAATTCATTACTATTCTTCACTTTGGCTATATTAATCAACTATAATAACATATAGTTATTATGACTTTTATGACATTTGTCATTTTAATTCTTAAGTTAATAAAATTATGCGAGCAAGGCATCCTGTACATCATAATTTGCTCGTCTAGTTTTACTATGTTACGCTATTTTTAAATAATTTTATAATTGCATGATATTTTCATATATCTTTGGTATACCATTAATTTTATAACTTTACATACTTTTGAGTTACATAGCAATCAGATTTACATTACTTTAACGCCCTTATATTCATTTTGAAATCATGGTACCAATTTACTAGAAAAAAATTTTGTGCAAACTGTATAATTAAACGCTGTTTGTGACATTAGGTATCCAAGTATTTCTCTATCTGTATATTTGAATATAAAAATATTTTAATCAACAAAGTACGAATGTTATAATTAAATATGAATATTATATACGAATTGTTACGTTCGCTTTAAATTTTAACAAGTTTGATATGACTTCGAAGATCTAAGAGATTCTCACTTTTACATTCTAAAATGAAAGTCTCAGGAACTTGTTATATTTCCCAATAAACATGCTATAAAAATTTCTTCGAAGTTGTATTATGCAAATTTATACAATATCAAACTTGGCAGCCAAATTTATAGAATTTCTATTCTATAACATACATAAAATATTAATTTCGTTCCAAATTAGGCCTTTAGAATTCGATTTTATATTTTCTTTATATAATAAATATTTTATCCTGATTAGTAAATAAAAAGTCTATGAATTGATTAATAGGACCTATCGCAGAGAGTGACATTCCACGTGACGGAGGTGCTCTGACAAGATTTGGACCAAATACGACGGCGAGATTACTTGATGTCATTTTGTTTAAATCACATCTGTCCATTACCTGTTATGAATATATACATATATTTTATTATTATAAAATTAGAACTTTTTAAAACAAGAATAGAACATAATTATTACAATAATAATAGTTTACCCTTGATAAAAATTGTACAATATATTTTAAGACTTGATAATTATCTTCTGGAAGTTTTTCAAGTACTAATATCTTAACTCTTCTTGGACGTTCATCTTTTGATAAAGCTAAAATGAGAATATCGATTTATATTATGCTATGCTTAATATTAATAAGAAATAATAATAAGAAAATTTACCTTGAAATTGTGTTATTTCATCATATAATTCATATGTCATGAGAGGTTCATCTAGTTCTCGAAGAAATGTTTTAAGAAGAACAGCTGCTATATGTGGGTCTCCTTGGAAATCAACAGATAATCCTTGATTACAACGATTTTGAAGTTCTTTAACTACTGCTACATTAGCTGATCTTCTAAATATTCCTTCTGTTTCTAATGCTGCAAATATATAATAATCAACATGTTATTTTTAAAGAAAGACATCGTATATGTACAAATTGTAGTTATAAGCATACCATCAGGTGTATCGAGAAATTCAATACACTGTCGCACTATTGGTGGTATAGGATCACCATTATTATTTTCTTTAATAAAAATAAGACTTGCTCCAAACTGAGTGGTACCAACTGGTGTTGTCACCGCACTCTGAGGTGGACTTGTTGGTAAATTCTTTTTGTTCTTTAACATTAGCTGTTCATTATGTCTAGAAATGAATGTAATAAATTAATATTGATATAAATTTGAGACCTTTGTAATTACAAAAGAGACACTTACTCTATTACTTGAGGAGGTATAATAAGTTGATCAAGATTAATATATTGTGCCAGTTCTTCCAAATAATTGACATACATCATTTTCCGACCAAACTTTGCACTAGAAGGATCAAGTTTATTATAATAATTAAAAGAAATTAATATTCAGGATACGACCGAATGATGTCAAGCAAGCAGCAGGTGATTTTTCATTCAGCCGCCATATTAACTGAGTAAAAAGCAATAATTACCTAATGGCTGGTTTAAATATTTGCCATACAATTCTAATAAAATTGGTTGGATGTACTAGATACAAAGCTTTCAAATTTTTTTTATATTTTCTGTCAAAAGCTTTATATGCTTGCCATAACCAGGATAATGGTGGTTTATTTTTTGAAGTAAGACCATAGTGAAAATAAACTAAACTATAATCTTGTTCTACAAATGTGTCTAAAGTATGTGTGAGATACCTGTCAAATAAATATATTGTTAAAAATAACGAAACAAATACATTTATTACAATATTTATATTTATATTACAAACCTGAGAAGTTTAGCATGGTTAAACGTTTCTTTTCCAACAGGAGGTAATTTACATGCAGATACTACTATTATTTTACGACCAGCACTATCATCACCAACCACTTCTACAATACCATATCTTGATATATCAAGATAATCTTCTTCATCCGCAAGTTCACCATCCAATGCAGCAAGATCCTCTGCTACTCAGCATGAAAGATTTTATTCGATAATAATTTTTTGCTCCTATCTTAAATTTCCTTTTGTTTTCCCTTTGACTCTTTTTACAAAATCAATATCCAAAATAATGGAATTGCAAATTAAGTAAGAGAGTCATTTAACCTTTGCTTTTGTGCATTTTTATACCATGCAATAATAAACTGTACAATGATCTACATAATTCACCTGCTAAGCCCCAAATGCCATGACATTTAGTGGCTACTAACAGAAGATAAAAGGTCACACACCGGATTCGATAACTGGAGCATCTACCAAAGCTTCTTCAAAGTTCTCTTCAATTGTCCCATCGCTTACTGGACTCTCCAAATAATCTATCCCAGTACCTGCACCACTGCTAATTAAGTCCAATTTTTCTTCTAAAAGTTGTACAGCTATAAAATGATTACTTCAGTTGTATTATAAAATAATTATATTTAATATGAAAGTTTGTACTGATACATAGGCAATTAAATTTAAAACAAAATAATTTAAACATTAAATAACATTTCATACTAAATATCATATAGATAACACTCTAATTGTACTAACACACAAAACTATTTTTAGCTTTTTATAAATAAGAATTTGAATTTCATTTATATTAAAGTTATTATTTACCATTATTTGAGGTGGTTTGCAACTCAGTATCATCGAACTCCAAGTTGGGCTCATAATCATGATAATCTGACAAACTTGGATATGGGTCTTCGACGTCATTAGCTATTGCTATCATACAAACAGAAGTATGCGCATTATTGTCTATACCAAATATGTTTCAATGAATCACAAAACACTACATCAGCCATCGCAATTCTTTCTTGATCAACGGTTTTGCATTATAAATAGATACTTAAAAGATGCTAAGTAACAATTGAAAAAAAAGGAAAGGAATACGTTTGCAAAACAAGTATCATAATAAATTGATGACTAGTATACATCTCGCGGTTTCACTCGGTTATATATATCATTTTTTTCTCCTCCCTCCCCCATTCGATCACGTTACACGTTATACATGATCTCCAATAAATATTTAGATGACTTTTCATCGGTGTTTACAAACCACTATGCGATTGTGGAACATAAAAAAGAAAATGAATTCTCTACTAATACGTATATGTACATTGAAACCAAGGACTGGAGCTATGTCAAGTTATGATCAAATCCTGAATTCTTTTTTATACGCACTATCGTGTCATATACGCGAATTATTCGTCACTTATCGATGTGCTTTTCCACATAGGAGACTGAGATCCATCGTGAAATGTTTTCTCGCTAGAACGAACAGAAAAATGTCGATGCCAGGTGAACTATTTACAATCACGATTTTCGGCGATATGTACTTGATGTGACGTTTATATTTGATACCTAAAGCAACGTCAACAATCGTCGACAGACAAGCTCACCTGTCAAAGTTCGCGTTGGGCTTAGCGTCGGTTGATAGTCTGCTTCCATTTTCTGGCAACTGTGCGATATAACAGTGCCACGATTAAATTACGGGGCTTTTACGTAGCCTGCTTTATAAACGAACAACGTTTTTCTTCTCGAACGACATTATCACGACGTTGGTATGGCAAACCAATGTATTCACGTCACGCTTTCATTTGTTGTGTCGCTAATTGTAATTCGTAGTCGCTCGTCACTCCCTTTCCCCACTGCTCGATTAACGAATATTTTTCATACTTATTCCTATTGGTTGGTTACACAGTTTTGCGATATCTACGATGCGCGCTAAAAATATGAAAATCACGTGACACGTTCAAATGTTAAATTAAGATAAGGAAGTAAATAAATAAATATCATATAGAAATGTCTACGTATATAATTAAACTATAGGTATAGATCGTATTTTTTTGATTCTAATATGATTTTTTAAATGATACTTATTAAATAACCATTAATTAAACTCGTATTTAGAAGGTTAAAACAATACACGTTTTTTATACTATTTACAGGTCGAAATTTCGATTAAATTTCGTTTCGGACTATTTTTTTTTAAATTTCTTTCGCATAATTTAATAATATGAAGTTCATTTCTACTTATTGAATAGTATCAGAAATTTCTTTTCAGAGAATTTATTACTAATTATTATTAATAAACTAACTTCCAGATTATTGTTTATATAAATAATACAAGATTTGGTTGAAATCTCTTTAACTAAATTAACATCTGTTTAAAAAATTTGAAAATTATATCGAAAACTGAAGGATTTATAAATAGACAAATTATTTCATTTCCTTTTATTATGTTAAACAACAAATACTTTTTATATCTTCCAAAAATTTTGTTAATTAAATATGAAATATTATTGTTTTTTTTTAAATAAAAGTTATATTGTAATTACACACTGTGAATACATCATTTTGTAATTTATTGTATGGAAGAAATATAACTTTTGATACGAAAGTAACAACGATGTATATCATGCAATTATGATCAATGACTTTTGCATATTAAATTATGTTTTAATAATGTCGCACAAATCACATTATTGTTCACTTTCCTTTACAAAAGATCATAATTAAGGAATAAGGATATAAAGACTTATAAAGACTTTCAAATGTTGAACTAAACACATATCCTCGTTTTATCATTTATATGATTTCTTTTCACTTACATATGTTGTACAATTCCAGTTTCTAGGCACGCATGATTGCTATGATGATTGTATAACTTTTTCATGAAGTTGAATTTCATAATTAATACAAGTTAAAGCAATTAATGTGTTATCTTTTTATATTGAAAATTTTTAATTAAGAAATTTAAAAGAAGACTAACATTGAATGTTATTAGATATTAAATACAAATAAGAATATAAAGAGACGGAAACAAATAAACATTATTTATTGGTACTGAATTTAATCATTTTTAATATAGTTTATTAATTAAATGTGCAAAGACTCACTAAGCAATACTGAATCATATAATATTTAATATATCTTAGTCTTCATGGTATTGTTTGTAATGGTTTAATTTTTTAAAAAATGCTTATTTCTTATATTTTTATATTGTTTTTTTTAATTTTATTATATTCTAAATGTTTATATGATGCACATTTTTTAAATATATTTACAATGGATATACAAAAATACTTTTGCATAGTGGAGTAGCGTTTTAAATAAAACATTAAAAACAGTTATTAACATTCATTTGTTCATCAATTTATATAAATGGCAATAATGATTAGAATGATACTACATTCCCTACTTACATTTTGCAATTTTAATGATTTGCATTTAATTACTTTATGTCTCTATTTATATCATGATTATTACTGTATTTTTACATTTTAAGTCACTGTTTAAATGTATTTAACATTTGAGGCGGAGAAATTGGCAGCTTGTTTCGATACTTGCAATTGGTATTGTAATTTACTGCGTGTACTAACTTTGTATGTATCAAGGATTAGAGCTGATTTTAATATTATTTTCTAATTTTAAATATATGTCCATTTTTTTAAACTGTATTTCATACAAAACTTTACATATTTATGATTTAATAAAATTCTATAATTGTTTATACATTCCGTTTACCAGTCTCTTTGTAAACATAAAAATAGATTTATATGTCTTATTTAATTGTAATATACATATTTTATGTGTGTGTGTATGTATGTGTGTAATGCACATTATTGTAATGCAAAAGATATTTGCTACATCACTTCTTGTTTAATTACTATATCGAATCGCAAAATATGTTTGCAAAAATCAAACCTGTGTATTAGCGATTATATTTTGATTGATTTACATATAAAGGCAGAATATTTTTTGTTTTGCAATGACAAAATATATGTTTGTATTCATAAAATTTTCTTCAAATCCATATATATTATATTGAGTTTTTCTGTACAGTGTGCACATTTCTTTTTTTACATGTGCAACAATGTGTTATGTTTTTTGTTTCATCTAAATTATCTTACTTTAAATTCTAAGCAATGAGGATTGAGAAATTCATTTATAATACAATTCCATATCTTCGGACGATTAAAAAGTATATGATGTACAGTAGATAAAAAATATGTGCTACAAATAAATGGAATTCCTTAAAACTATATACATATAATGTGTACAACTCAAAATAAATGACATATTTAAAAACTCTGTAGAAATTGAAAATGTGAAATAAAATAATTGGTCATTCTTCTCTTAAAAAGAGTCTCTAAAAAAGAGTTGCATGTACATAATGAAATACTTGCGTAACTCAATTCGTACAAAAGAGTTACATGAAACTTAAGTTTTGATCTTTATAAGACACTTTATCCTTGTAAGATTTGTTTCTTATTTACAATGTAATTAAATTACTTATTTATTAAAATTTATGAATGGAAATATAGAATGGAGTATATGTACAATAATGTGATTCCTATTAAACCGAATACTTAGGACCACATTTTTTAATTGGTGTTAATCTGAGGCCTTTAGCCAACATTTGAGCTTCAAGGTCACGATCTTCATCTTGATACCTAAAAGAAAAGTATGCTTCCATTAACTAAATACAATAGTCAGAATTTACATATTCAATGATAATGTTTTTATCTCGTGCAAATGGAACATTCTAATAATTAATATAAAGCAACAAAATATATCAAAATATTTTTGTATGCAAATGAATTTATCATACGTTATCAAATATTTCTTTTTAATTTATGGAATAAAATCAGCAAATATTTTTTATGAAAATATACAATATACTTCCATTCTTTTACAAAAATACATTTAATTAATAATTATTGTTCAAAAAACTTTGTTTAGAGGATTTTTGATTCTTACCATTTTTCGTAAATAGTGATATGTGTTTAGGAAATAATTACCATAAACACATACAGTAATATATTTTATTTTTTTTCAAATATCCATTGAAAAATACTTTCAAACTTAACAACAATTACATTTCTATAATTTTTAACCCTGTGACCAAATATAATTTTAAGTACAACCAAAACATTTTCATTCTCACAACAGCACTACAACACAGTCATGTATATAAATACATTACTTTATGCAAAATACATTACACAATGCAAAAAAAATACTTATAGTAAAAAACAAAAAAGTTGTATATATGAACAGCATGCATAATTGGATTACAATAAAATTTAAAAAGTGTAAAAAAAAATATAAAAAATAATTTATAACGTGCTCTTCTCCATGCAATATAAAATTACATGTGAATGGAAGAAACTGTATACTGCGATCACTAATTAATATAGTAATCTTTGTAAAATAAATATATACTATTTTACAATATATATATATATATATATTATATATAACAAAATTAGACTATATAACACTAATAACTATAACAATTTATAGTTTTTATATATAACAGACAGAAATATTGTAAAGAAAGCTAAGAACATTTTAATATTTGTAAAATGAAAATAGAGAAATTTAAAAACCAGATAATTCAGAAAATTCAAAAAAATATCATGATTTGAAAAGCGTTAGCGGTTCATTGTAAAAGTTAATGAACAATTCTATTAAGTTAGTCAAAAACACGTAGATGATTAAAATGACTATTAAAGTAAGCACAGAAGATGTATTGTTCAAATCAGAAGAAAAAAAATTAGGTACGTGCGAAAAATAGGTAACTGTATGTGTAGGGAAAGTTAATGTTTGGCATGTAGATTTACACCACCTTTGTCGCTCTTCTTCTAAAAGCGCAATGAGCGAGTCCCGTTTCGCAACTATTTCCAACATTTCTGTTAAAATCTCTCCTTCTTTCTTCACATCGGCATTGGTTTTTTTATCGTCTGTAAAATACCAATAAATCTATTTCTTTTAATGTTCTTTTATAAAACATATCATAAGACTATAAAGGCAAACTATTGTATAATACTAAAAAGTTACTAATAAGCATTAAAATATAAGAAAATATTAACCATCATCAGCTAAGCGTTCACGCAATTCCTGTTGCAATCTTTCATGACGATCTTCGAGTTGAACTTCTTGAGCTCTTACTAAAAGCTCTTTTTCGTATCTGCGCAATTCCGTGCGTTCTTTCATAAGATCAAACCATTCTCTGAGTAAATCCGCTTCTTCCCGATCGGAGCATTCTAAATATCATAAGTACATTTTATTTTAAGCGTTTGTAATGAAATGTTTTTATAACGATAAAGATTCTTACCGCCTTCTCCACGAAGAGCTTTTTCAACGCTAACACCTCTGCTTTCCAACTCTCTTTGTTTAACTTCTGTTTCTTCCAACTTCCTTTGTATTTCCTGAGCCATACGCAATCTTTTGAACATTAAAAAAAGAATTATGGCATTACAAATAATAATTGAATCATGATAAAAGTACAAAATAGTTCTGTTATGTACCTCTTTAACCGTGCTTGTCTAGCTATTCGTTTTGTAGTTTTTATTTTACGTGAAATGCTATTGCATGAACCTTCTGTTACAGTAGCCTTGTGCATGCACGATGTTGACACTGCTGTTGTTTTCGTGTCATCATCTGACAAACTATCATCTGTTAAAAAAGATAATGGATATAACATATAAGAAATAAATTTCTTCATTTTCATATAATTATAATTGTTAATATATTATTTATACCTGAGACTTGTGTAGGAATGGTGTAAATAAGGGGTGGTGGTGGAATTGGCGGCGGATTTTCATTTAAGAAATTTCTTGTGAGCATTCCTTCGCAAACACTTTTTGGTCTAGCATTAGTCTTCGGCGATAAAACTTTATCAAGCTGAAAAAAGATATAACATTGGTTTCTTCTTATTATTTTAATAAATATAAAAAAAGTTAATTCAATTTTTAAAATTTAATGAAAGATTGTAATAAACTCTATTGTTGGACTACACTCAATAAGCTATAAAATTATAACTATGAAGATGCAGTTACAAAATACATACATATATATAACAATATGTTATATAATTGCAATAAATTAAATACATTTAGCAACTTAAATTGATGAATGAAATAATTTTACTTTGTGATGAATGAAATAGTTTACTTTGTACACTTTAGGAACATGATAAGAAATTAGAATATAGCAACTATTAAATAAATTATAAAACCCAATCACTTATTTTTGAATAGTATTTTCTTAATAATGTTAGAGTAAAGCACACTAAAAAAAAAAAAAAAAAAAAA